GCCGCCCCCCTCCGTCGGCCCCGCGCCGCTGGGCCGCCACTCCCCGCCAGGCGGCTCCTCGCCGGCGGCGGGCGGCTGCCGCGGCCGAGGCCGGCGGCGCGCCGCGAGGCGGGGCGCGGCGCCGCGGGGCGGCGGCCCGGCCCCGCGCCCACCGCCCGCAGCCACCGCCCACGGCCACGGCCACGGCCACACGCCCACTCCCGCGCGTCTGCCCCGACCCCACCTCAGCGCCCAGTCGGCGGCGAGCGAGGGGGAGGGGGCAAGCGAGGAGGTGAAGGCCTTCGAAGGCCGGGGGACTTCCGCGCCTTTTCTGAGAAGGCCCGCCCCTGCTCACTTCCCCCGGGGCTAGCCGCCGGCCGACGTCTCGAAAAGAATGCAGCATCGTGAAAAAGCACGGCCGAAGCCAAACAGACCCCATCTCTCCGCGCCATGTCTCGAGCCCGATCGATCTGTGAGGGTCCGGGGGCCCGAATCCGGGCGAAGGCGCCCGGCTCGAACAGAGATCACCAGCTCGCCGCTTGGGCCCCACCGCCAGCCCAAACGGCGAACATAAATGGGGCGTAGGCCCGCCACGCATTCGACTGCCCACACTTCGTCCTGGTACTACTCGCACTCCTCCCCGTCCTCCTCCCCATACTGATCGTCGTCGTCCTCCTCCTCATCCTCTTCCTCATCCTTCTCGTCTTCCTCTTCTTCCTCCTGCTCCAGCTCGGTTTCCTATCGGTTGCGCCATAAGTTGCGCCCTCGGCGGCCGAGATTAAAACCGTCACCTAACGGGTGCGCCATAGGTTGCGCCCTCGGCGGCCGAGAATAAAACCGTCACCTAACGGAAGCGCCATAGGTTGCGCCCTTGGCGGCCGAGAACAAAACCGTCGCGTAACGGGTGCGACCAGTCAATCGAGTTCAGTTCAGTTAAGTGCAGTTCAGTTCATTTCAATCAATTTACTTCGCGAGAAACAAGTTCGGGCTACGCCCGAAATGAAACGCTAGCGGGGGGGAAGCGTCTGAATTCCAGTACGCGACCCCGCGGATACGCGGGAGCGCGTTCGTATTCAGATTCTGGAATATTCATTTGCATGGCATTCGCCCCTCCGCCGTCATGCCAGCAGCGCAGGGCTGGAAAGGCGTGCCAGTTGCGTTAAGTCCAACTCTCCTTTCGGGCCTCGCCACCTCCCCCCTCCCCCCCGCCCCTCCCGCCGCCATGCAAGTAAACTCGCCAAAACCTGCCCCAGACCGACGTCCGGTCGCTCGGATACGTTCCGCGCAGGGCATCCGCACGAGGCATCCGCGAAATGACGGCCCGCATCCGCGGGGTCGCGGCCCAGGGGCCCGACCCGCAAGGCCGCGGATGCGCACATGACGTTCGCCCGAGGACCCTGACATCCAACGCCTTGAACATCGAAATGACAAGTTGTCGGGCATGCCGCCGGTCCCCGCAGGCTTTCCAGCCTCCTGGTGCTGTCTGGCAGTCGCGCCTCGCCCCGAGAGCGTTCCAGGGGCGCCCGAGATGTCCCGAACGGCCGCCAGGGGTCCGAGTTATACCGGCTGGATAACCAGACCTTCATCAACGGCTTGAGACAATCAAGACGGATGCCTCTCGTCATCTTCGGCCTCCGGGCCGCCAGAGAGAGGCTTGGTATGAGGAGCTGGTCCTGGGGACGATCACTGATCGTAGGATAGATCCAAAGCGGAGCGCTTCTTGACCGCAAGGGTCAGTGGGGCCGCTCGATATCTTCCCAGGGTCCGGCTTTTCTTCCCGAGCAGCTTGTGGACGGCCCTGGGGCCCAAATTGGGCCCCCAGAGGCTCATCATCCCACCAGCCCTCAGGGTGGAGTTGGTTTAGAGCATGTCCTCCTCCATCCCCCTTCCCCTTCAGGGAAGGGTTTACCCTCCTCCCCTTGAGTCTGGACGCGACCCTGCGACCCATTGTAGTGCCCAAAGATGGCCCCAGCGAGAAGACCCAAATCATTGATTTCTCGTTGGGTTTGACCTGATTTTAGCCTCCGCGAGAGGCACTGCTAGTAGCCTCCCCCCCTTGTTGGACCGATGGCCTCTAGGATGGCCCCAATACCGCCCGACAAAAACCTGCAAGGGAGCCCCAAGAGGGCCCCGAGAGCCGAGGCCGGAGAAAGGCCCTCAAGAGGCTCCCTGGAGGTCCTCGAGCGGCCCCCAAGAGGCCCCAAGAGGCCCCCAAGACGCCCCGGGAGGCTTTTCCCATTTTTTTTTTTTGGTGGTGCCCCCAGTTCCTCAGGAACTCGGGGCACCCCAAAAGACTCAAGGAGGCTTTTCCCAGGCCACAAGGGACACCCCAAGAGACTCAAGGAAGTCCGCCGATCCGGCGTGTGAGTTGAAGGGGGTGGGGGTGACCGGGGTGGCTTTGCCGGGAAGGGGGAGGGGGGGGGAGGGGGGGGGTCCGGTGGCGCGGGTTCTGGTGGCGCGTGGGGGGCCCGGGGGGAGGCAGGGGTTCCGGAACGGCCGGAGGCGTGGGTTCTGGTGGCGTGGAGGGGGGGGGTCCAGTGGCGTGGGTTTGCTTAAAGACCATTGGATTCCCTTAGAAACCGCCTCAGAACGCTTGGTTTGCCGGGGTGGGGGGGGGGAGGGTTCTGGTGGTGTGGGTTCTGGTGGCCGGGGGGGGGGGGGGGGCGACGGTTCCAGTGGCGTGGGTTCTGGTGGCGGGGGGTGGGTGGGCCCGGTGGCGTGGGCTTGCTTGCAAAACCACCGGATTTCCTTAGAAATCGCCTCAGAACGCTTGGTTTGCCGGGGAGGGGGGGTCCGGCGGTTTCCGGGGGTGTTTTTACAGGAGGACCCTCTGTAGATGCGCTCAAGGGGTGGCGCGCGGACTATGCAGCTTTTACAGCAGGACCCTCTGTAGATGCGCTCAAAGGGTGGCGGATTTGGTGCTTTTACAAGAGGACCCTCTGTAGATTCGCCCAAGGGGTGGCGGCTGTGCTGCTTTCACTGAAGGACCCTCTGTAGGTGCGTTCAACGGGTCGCGCGTGGTGTGTTTGAGCGTGCGCCCGTAATGTCTGCTTCCCTGGGCATCGCTCCTGGATGGGCTGGTAGGGGCATGCGAAGCGTATTGAGTCAGGGAAGGCAGGGTCGCTTGGATCTGGTTCGAGTCGGTGGGCCATCTGGGCGCGGCCTCTTCCAGCCCGTCGAGGCATGGGCAACGCATGAGTATAACCAGCATGAGCACGGCGACACAGATACCGATGTTGGCCAGGCCAATCCTGGGCTGAGAATCGGCGCGTGCACCGGCCTTCGGGTGCGCCGAAGAGGGGGCAAGCGCAGCGTGTCCCGAGGCATGTGGGCGGACGAAATCGAGCCACCGTGCGCACGCATGGACAGAAGAGAAGGGCAACCGTGCAATCTCGGAGACTTCGTGGCCTCGGCGATGATATGCCCTACCCCCGCAGTCCTCGCCCCTCCGTTGGACGCCCCCGACATAAACCTTCAGCCTGCACCGCTGCGCTGCCGCCGCCACCCAGGGCAGGGAGCAGCGGAGAGAAAGAGCGAGGGCCCCCGCGGACCCCGCAGTCGAACTAACAGCGTACGCAGGAGGAGGCGGCGGCGGCGGAGGAGGAGGAGGACAAGGGAAGAGAGGGGGAAGAGGAGTACCACCGACCAAAGAAGAGGAAGAGGAATGGCCGACCCGACCCATTCCACTGCCCCAGGAATCCACTCCACGGCTGTTCAGAAGCGACGATGACGAAGCGGCGGCAGCTGACAGCGGGGGCGAAGCCGCGAGCGTGGGCGTGACGAGAGGAAGAACAGGAGGAAAAAGAGCAGGCAGAGCAGCGTCGGAATAGGAGGAGGCGGCGGCGGAGGAGGAGGAGGAGATGCGAACGGCAGCCGCACACGGCCGCGCGGCACGACGGCGGTGCTCGGCTCCTCTGCAGCCGCCTCCGGCACGGGGCCCATGGCGATGATGCTCTGCAGCGCGCGGCGGCCGGCCTCGGGTCGCGATGTTTTGGGAAGTCGAGCTCGGCTGCCGAAAATACGTTTTACGTCGCAGCGCGGCAGGGGCAGTCCGCGCGCGCGCTCGGGCAAGCCGGGTGACGGCATCGCGAATAGTCCGGCAGCAAGAATAAGAAAAAGGGGGGGAGGAAGCGGCCGCGGGCAGTGGGGAGGAGGGAGAGCGCTCACGCGGCGGGGCCCGCTGGGGGGCTGCCGGAGACACGCAGTTCTATCATTTATGAGTGGCGAGCTCGGCTTTTTCCAAGAGCACGCAGCTTTGTGTTGGAAGTTGACGTCGGCTTCCAAAAGCACCACATTCTCTCACCGCCACCACTGCATGCCCCACAGTAGAGGGGCAACTTGAATGAGGGGGGCACCGGCGCAAGAGGAGGAGGAGAAGAAGGAGGACGGGGAACAGGAGGAGGAGGGGGAGGAGGAGGAGGAGGAGGAGGAGGAGGGGGGAAACCTCGCGCCGGAGTCGGCGAAACATCGCCGATAGGTCGGCGACGGGCCCCCGATAGCGACACCGCACGCTCCCGGGCAGTGTGGGCTGTCGGCCCCCCAGCGGCGATCCATGGGCGAGTGGAGGTCGACGCGTCCTCCACTTCGCCTCTCCCTCCCTGAGGTTGCCCCTGACGCATGCCATCCCTCTGCCTTGGTGTGTGGGGGGGAGACAGGCGCTCTGGCTGGCTAGGCGGCGAGACGCTGATACGATGGGGCGCAGGGCCGGGCCTGCCGGCTCGGCCGCATCAGAAGCTTGCTCGGCCATGGCTTGCTTGGCCAGTGGCCTGAGGGGGCGCTTATAGAGGCCTCCTAGATGGGGTCGGAGTAGATGGGGTCGGAGGACCGCGCCGCATCGCCGATATATCGGCGATACATCGGCGATGCATCGGCGATGCATCGGCGATGCGGCGCGATCCTCCGACCCCATCTGCTCCGACCCCATCTAGGAGGCCTAGAGCTTAGCCTGGGGGGCCAAGGCAGGGGGGTCGCATGCCCCAGCCCAGGGACGGCTGGCCGCTGTGGCGATGTCGGCAAACTCGCGTCGCGACGACCTGCGAGGCGTTGTGGTCTCCGACACCGCGCGGGTCGCTCAACCCGGAACGAGCACGGATCACGGCGCTCCGATGGCGCGGATCGTCTGCTTCCGGGCCCCCCATCGCTGCTGGAGGGGGCACCGGCCTAGGCCGAAGGGGCTCAGCTTCGCCCCGTGGGACGCCTGCCGCGCATGGGCCCGGGAGGAGCGAGGGCAGAGCGAGCAGAAGGCTCTATCCCCCCACCGACGGGTCTCCCCCGGCGCAATGGGGGTGGCTCGAGCCACCACCACCCGATCGCGCGCTGCTTCTTCGCTTCGCTGGGCGTTACCACCTCTGACGGAACGAAAAAGAAAAGCGTCCCGTCGACCGAAACGCGCCGGGCCCTCGACCCGGGACGCCCGCGCCGGCGTCGCCGTCGCGTGGGCACGGCGCAGACCTGCCACGGGGCTGTGCTGGACGAGGCGCCAGCCGCGCCGGCCGGGCCGGCCGAGAGGGGGGACTTCTCCGCGCCTCCCGGCGCCGGGAGCGGCCACGCATCGAGGGAGGCGCCCAGCGGCGAGGCCGAAACCGGCTGCACGCCCGCCCTCTCCCCCTCTCTCAGTCCCCCCCCCCTTCTTCGCCCGACCCGAGGCCAGCCACGCACTACAGGCACGCACCGCGCCGCAGCTCAGCAGCGCCTCCTGGCCTGTGGCGGTGGCAGAGTGGGCCTCCCCCCGGTGCGCGGCGGGGCAAGCACTGACGGCTGACCTGTGGCAGTGCTCTGCTGGAGGAGACGCCAGCCGTGCCTATAGGGCGACGAGACCTGCCACTGCCGCTGGCCAGGCCCATTGTGGTCCGAGGAGTGGTGTGTACGCCTTCCTGGCTTGGCCTTAAGGGGTTGTAGACACCGTTCCTGGGCCCACGATGGGCCTGGCCGGGGGCAGAAGAGAAATGCAGATCCTGTCACCCGTCACCGCACGGTTTTGGAACCTTGGAGGCCCCAGTCGCTCGCGATGCCCTGATATTCGAAAAAGCAAAGACATGTCACATCTTGGAACGCTGCGGCCAAAAACCCAAACCCCGTGTTTCTGGGCCATTCTTCGAGCCGGGTCGATGAGTGAGGGTCCCACAGGGCCCGAGACTGGGCGAGATCGCCCGGCACGAGAAAGTGGAGACACCAGGATCTCAGGGAGTCCTCAGTGAACGACCCGCGTCCCAGAACCGTGCGGTCACCCGGAACCCCCACCGACTAACCACACAGAGTGCTCGCCTCAGTGTTTGGGGTTCGCCCGACCTGGAGGGCGCTTCTGGGCCATGGGGCCGCATTGCGAGAAAGAGAACATTATGTTGCATCATCGCGGGACCTTGTCGGTCCTGTCGCGCCGCTATCCGCAGCGAGTCCGTGTCGAAACAATGTCGAGCGCGTCAGATCCGTCTCGAATCCACATCGGGTCCGCGTCCTTATCCGCGCCGATAGTACCATGCCGAATCCGCGCCGAAAAAGATCAAGATTTACAGGACAGGCAAGGTCCCCCGAAGATGCCACGCAAAGAACCGGCCACGCCAGAAATGGCTCGCAACCCACGGGCTCCGGCTCAATCTGGGCGGGCCCCCGTCTAGACACTCCTGGGCTCTGGCTCGCTCAGAGCCAGCTCGTCTTCAGGTTCCAGGCAGTTTCCTTGCATGAAGGCTGGGAGGCCGTGGCGAGGCCCGAAAAGGGAATCTGGACTTCACGCTCGCTTTCGGCCCAGCGTTGCTTGAAAAGGCGGCGGAGAGAAGGGAGAATGCTATGCAAGCAAAGTTGCCAGAATCTGAACAACAGCACGCTCTTACCAAAGATCCCCGACGATCTGTTGCTTTCAGTCTCGGCGCCTTTCCTCGATGTCGGCCTCATCGGGCCCATTTTCGAACCCCCGGGGCCATCAAGAGCGGAGCCGCGCGGGACGAAAAGCTGCACCAGGGGGGTACCGCGCACTGGAGCACGTAGATCTGCGCCGCCTGCCAGTCTTCGGCGGCGCGCAGAAGGGGGTAGGGGGAGGGGGAAGACTTCTTAGAAGGAGACCGCTTCTTAGAAGGCGCCGGCCCTACATCTAGATAGAAGGCCCGCGCCTTTTAAGAAGCAGGGGTGCTTCCGAGAAGCCTTCCCCCTCCCCTTACCACCCATACACCCTTGTGCGCGTGGCCGAGAATTGCAACACGTGAATCATGTCGTCGGATATCTGCGGCTGCGCCGCTTGCCGGACTACCCTGCGGCATCTCTAGCAGCAGCGGTCCGGGCGCCTCGGGAGGCGTCGCGACGTCCTGCCGCCGTGCATGGCCCAGGGCGAACCGCGTCGCGGACTGCGAGAGCATAACCTACGCAGACTCTTGACCAACCCCGCGGCGTCAATCGGGGGATCCGAATCGACCATCCGCAGAACTTCGGGTGTCGGGACATCAGTATCCTGGGCATGCCCATGTGCCGTCTTTGTGCCCCAGGAAGCCTCCGAGAGATCTCTCCCCCCCACGCGGGCTCCCTTCCGGGCCTCATCACAACCCAGAAGGATAAACAACCGCAGTAACGTAAATGTTCAGAGGTTCACGAGAAAACATCGGACAGTTCATGTTACGATTGCCAGTGTGGACGCCAAACAATAATAAGTTCTGGCACTGTGGATGTGCAAGCTGTGTGATGCACAATCGTCTCTGCTGTGTTCTTCCCAAAAGCCACTGTGTACCCTCGGCATACCCCGCAGGCGGCAACGGCCGGCAAGGGGCGGCAAAGGGCCGGAACATGGCGAATCCTCAGGCCCCCCCCACAAGCGGCAACGTGCGGCAACTGGCCAGAACGTGGCTAATCCTCGGGACACCCCCACAGGCAGCATCGGGCGGCAACTGGCATGAACGTGGCGGATGCGAAGGGCACCCCCACATGCGGCAAAGTGCGGAGCGGACCGGCGCGTGGCGAATCCTAGGGAGATCCCCACAGGCGGCAACGGCCAACAGTGGGGCGGCAAGAAGCTGGAACGTGGCGAATTCTCGGGACACCCATCCAACGCCGTAGAAACGCAAGTGACAGCCCCGAAGTGCAACAATTGTTTCGGGAAGCGCGGAAACTGTCGTTCCTCGATTCCCCCAACACCCAACGCTCCATGGACCGCTCGCGCCCGATCCGCGAGCGGGAAAGCTACGACCGACCCCGCCGGCCGAGGCGGCGCGGTGCCCAGGCTGCGATCGGCACGGCGCGCGCGCCGGGGCGCCCACCAGGCGCCCGCCCGAGGAGGGCTCGGCGCCCACCAGGGGCGCCATGTCCGGGTGCGGCGTGAGCGCGGCGGCGTCGGGGCCCTGATCGGGGGATCGGCGGCGCGCGCGGTGCGCGGCTGCTCGCAAAGAAGCGCGTCTTACGCGAGAAGACGTGGCGACCTTAGGCCGCCACCTGCGCTGGCCGCCAGCAGCGTGGCACACCGCGTGGATGAGAGGGCACTCGCGCGCGGCCCTGCGCCGAAGGCTTACGCGCGAATGTCCGAACAGTCGACCCCGTTTTTTGCCGTCGCTCAGATGGCCCTGGGCAAGAGTGACTTCTGGTGCGCGGATTCGGTGCAATGGGGTGGTTAATCCATGCCCATCGCAACGGGGAGCGATGCCCTGGCTTTTCTGTTTCCTAAAAGGGGCGGGGGGGATATTCCTACAATGAAACATGTTGCATGGACCACCCCAGGCAGCCGAAAACGCCTCCCACACCGGCCCAACAGGTCCCCAAGCTGGCCCAAGAGGATCTCAAGGCGCCCAGGACGGTTTCTAGACGGCCACAGGAGTCTTCAAAACAGCCCAAGAGGCCCCCCAGAAGACCCCCAAGAGGCACAACTCGCCGCATTCCCTTCGGGAAGCGTGTATTTTTGACATGCAGTATTCGCTTTTTCGGTCCTAGCAGCGACCCAGACGACCCAAACGGCCCCCAAGATCGCCCCAGGACGACCCAAGAGGCCCCCAAGAGGGCTCCAATACGGCCGAACAGGGCCGAAGAGAGCCCCAAGACTGCCCAAAACAGGCCCTAGGGGGCCCCCCAACAGCTCCAAGGGAGCCTCGAGAGGGCCATATGGGGGCTCCCTAGACGGCCCAAGAAGGCACCGAGAGGGCCCAAAGGCGGCCCAAGCACCCCAAGACGGCCCAAGAAGGCCCTGGGACGGCCCAAAAGGGCCCACAGCCGGCCCAAATTAACACTAAAGGACCCCGGACAAGGCCCCAGAGGCCCCTAGAGACTCCCCAAATGCTTCCGACAGGCTCCCAGAAAGCTTCCCGATAGGCCCCCGGAAGCGTATGGAAGGTCTCGCGTCTACGTCCTGCATCGCGTTCCCAGAGAGGTTTCCAGACGGGCCCCGATTCACGAGCCACGCGCGGCTTCCAGAGGCTCCGCAGAAAAAACGCCGCGAGGCCCCGACGGGCACGCGAGACGCCCCGAACTCAAGATCCAGGTCAGGGGTGCGCCGCCGTGGCGACGCCACGGCCCTGGCTGCGTCACCAAGAGCCCTCAAGGTCAAGTCCGCGTCCCCATTTTACTGGACGGCCACCGCTTTCGCCCCCGAGACAGCTCATTTTGTACTCGCTCGGTCAGCTGTAGGCCAGTCGGCGCCGTGAATGCCAAGGCCTCCACCAAGCCCCCTCTCAAGTCTGAGGCCCTCCCTGAGGGCGCCCGAACAACACCCGGGCTACCTCCAAAGCGAGCATACATCATCGGCTGCTGCTCATCCTCCTTCTTCGATTCCTGCTCAGCATCTTCTGCTCCACCTCCTACTTCGCCATCGTCTTCCATGTTCGCCCCACCGTCGCCGGCCAGCTGTAAGCCAATCAGCGCCGTGCACGCCAAGGCCCCCCAATGCGCACTCAAGCCTGAGAACCCCCTTACAAGCGACCAACAAACACCCAGGCCGCCTCCAAAACGAGCGGACATCAGCAGCCATCGTCATCGTCGGCCACCGGCCACGAAACGGCCAAGAGGGCCGCGGGATGTACAAATCGTCAATTCTTCCAGACCTGTTCACGGATTCGGATTTGACGTGCGCGGCCTCCAAAACGCCCCAGAGGTTTCCAAGAGGCCCTAAGACGGCGCAGAGGCCCCAAAGGCAAGCAAGAAACCTTCAAGCTTTGACCACGACGAAACCACTTTTCTTTGCGCGCCCCTCTTCTCACGGCGGGGCTCGCCGTCCCTTGTCCAGGCGATGACCTTCACCCCCTTCGCGGTCAAAAGCGTCGCCCCCTCGTCGCTTCGACCCCTGCCCCTCTCCGACGACCATCACATCCACCCCGCTCCCGATGCCCGCGGTCCCCACTCGCGCCCATGGTGATAGCGTTTCAGCCTCGCGACGTTCACCCTCCTCGCGGTCATCGCATCAGCTCTCTCGCTGCCGGAAGCGCATTCCGTTATCGCCTTCTCCCCCTTCTGGCGACTGCGCGACCGTCTGCATCATCGTGCCAGTCCTCCTCGTCGTTCTCGTCCTCCTTTTCCTCTTCTTCGTCCTCGCCGCCCTAGCGGCGGATCATTCGTTTCTGGTTTTTCCCCACGGACGCTCGTGACATTGCTCCATGAACGTTGTGACCGCAACCCCCCTCGTGGTCACCTTTTCCTCTCACCTAGCATGCGTGACATTGGCCCCTTCACACTGACGCCCGTCCACCCCAACCAAAGACATGCCCGTGGCCTGTTCCAGGATGATGACAGTGACCCCCCTCGTGGTCATCATCTGATTTCACCAACCACCCATTCACCGAATGGATGGAAGTGCGTGGTCGCAGGGCCAACATTGAAGCGAAGCGAAACAAGCCTTCACATCTTCTCGTGTGTATATATGTACACATAGAATACGGCCCCTTGCCCTGGGTGGCCGAATCTATCCATATCCACAACCTGCCCGCTGCGGTTTCAGGGGGGCGCGGGGGGACCAGACCCGCAAGCGCACGACAGTGCTGATGGAACCCATACATCCGAATGCAGAAAAAAGACTTCCAAGCATAACACGTCCGTCCTGTTTCTCTCACGACGCGAAGATGTCGGGGCACCCTGTGGGCCCGCAACACAGGTCACCCCCATGGAACGGCCACTCTTGCGCGTAGCCTAGCGAGGCGGTGCTGGGCGGGCCGCGGCCCCCCCTGGGCTCGATCCTGGACTGGAGCCTGGTCGGTCCATTTAGCCTGTGGGTCTCCTCATTTCGCGCGTCGCATCCCGCGTGTGGCCAAGGCCGCAAAGCGCGAAGCGGGCTTTACCTCCGCGCACCTCCTGGGCGACCTTCGTCCGACTGGCACCGCAGCATCACAGCAGGCTCATCGGGTCGGACCAGGCCGTTTCGACCGAGCTGATCGATCAGGGCGGCACACGCGGTGGACACATCGAGGCGATCGATCGAGGCGGGCCTTCTGCGTCGCGGCAGCCGGCCACATCGATGAGTTGACCGACCTGGTGCTGCCGATCAAAAGTGCACGCGGGTGCTGCGACACCTACCTTCCCCCGTCAGGCGTTGCCGCAATTCGGGCTGGGAGGGGCGCATCGCTCTGCCCCTGAGGGATATGAGCGCCAAGTGAGAGCTTGGGGTACGGTGCTCTGGACCCTGGGTCTTGCGTGTCAGCGATCTGCCGCTCCGCTCACAGGGACGAAACGGTGCTTCCAGAAGTGGCGGGTACGCGCGCAAGTGAAATTGGACGCGAGATACCCACGAGCCAGCTTGATTGCACGGTTGGGAGTTTCACGTGCAGTTCCGCTTAGTACAACTGCTGCACTAGCATGTGGTCACTCGGCCATGCTGCTAAATTGCATGGAGTACTACACGTCCAGTGAAACTGCAACGGCACATCGTAACGTCAGATATGGCGGCTCACATGTGGCGCACGACTGGCACCACAATCTCACTGCAACCGAACTGTCCAATAGAAGAAATCAGGTGTATGTGCTTGCGTTTGCGATGCAAAGCCTGAACAACCCAACCGCGCATGTGGCAAATATTGTAGCCGAGTCAGCGCGAGGCCGTGACGCTCCGTCCTATTCAGCATACTAAATGCCAGGTGAATTCTACAGCGCCTGCACATCGTCCTCCCCCTGTGAACCTCCCCCACTTCGCTTCCGACGTCCTCCCTTCGCCTCCACCCGAATCCACATCTGCCAGACTGGAGCGCACCGGTTGCTGGGTCATAACAACCGGTGCAAACACTAAGACCGCCCTGCACCACAAGAAACATGCGCATCCACGCAACTCACTCGTGTTTGCCATTTCGCGAGATTCTGGGGGACCGCTATGCTCGACTCCTGCACCACAAATCCATGACCTGTGGATTAGCACAAGGGATTTCACAAGAGCCCAAACGCCTCCTCCTTTATCTCCTCCACCCGCTCACTCCTCCTCGCGCTCCTGGATATGGACGTGTTCGCAGATCGTGAAAAGCCACGAGCCTCCTAACTGGCACTCCGTAGGGCTCTTTCTGTACTTTCCCAGACGCGTCCTCCACGATCGCGCTGAAACGCCGATACGGCAAGTTCTGCAGCGCCTCTGCCGGACCACTCATCTGGAGGCCGCTTTTCCCAAACAGGAGACCAGTGAGAAGGAAGAGAATGATGAGGAGGAGAGGGCGACGACGATGGCGAAAGCAAACGTAAAACGGGGCAGCGAGGAGAATTATAAAAAAGGATGAGGAGGACGGATAGAGGACGAGGATGGACAGTTGGACAGGGGAGGTCGACAAGAAGTGATATGAAGACGAGGAGGAAATTATGAGGTGGAAAAGCAAGGATCGGGGAATAGGATAGGAGGAGAGGAATGTGGGGGAGGGAATCAGACGGTGGTACAACACGCCAGGACAGGATAATGCGGAAGGTGACCCGAGGGAGATGTAGAAACATAGGGGCATGGAACATCGAGCATATTGCCCCAGCGAGTCCCACCCACACGAGCATCGACTGAGACTAACATGCCCGACGCAAGCAACGCGCAGGCCTACGCACAAACACAGTGGCATGCGCCCGCACCATGCACCCATGCAACAGAAGCTGCTTGCTTACGCGTGGAGCACACTGCCGCGGATGTACACACACACACTGTCCAGAGAAGCGTGCAAGACATGCGTCGTGCATGAGCGAGTACACGCACGTCCCCGAAAGGGTGCCGCACAATTTGCGTTGCCGCGGGCGCAATATTCCTCGCTCAGGCCACACGCACCACGAACCTTAACAGGACGCACTTGTTTCATGTAGCAAAAGCACCTGGCAACTAACAAAAGTCTCGCCGCTTTCGACGTGTGTTTATTCCTAGCGTGAACCATTAAAAAAAACTGAAATGATGGTGCTGATGGTGCTGGACGCAATGCCCATGGTATGATTATGATACCTGCTACTGCTACTGGCACAGCTGGTGCCATGCTTGCTGCAATGGGCAAGCCCGCTTTCGGATCCGTTTCCTGCTGATTCCCATGACGTGTTCAAAATATCCGCATATAAAGGGCGATTCCCAAAGCACGGTCTCGGGATCACGTCCTCTTCCCTGAATCCGCAGGGTCACTTCAACAGAGCACGATGCTCAAGTGCATGATGTGAGCAATCATATTGTGAGCGGCGTTCGAACGACAACGACACGTCGACGACAACACAATGATGAACACGTGCGGTGCCCCAGCGGGAAGGCAACTGAATACATTGTTAAGGTTTACCCTCATGGTGCAACTTGGAGGCGGCCAGGGGGGTCTGAATTGGATGGACCTCGAGAAAATCTGGCGAGAAAGGGGGATACGGGCAAATCCGCTCAAAATCGGTCCCGCGACTTCTTCTGGGGCCCATCTGGCGCAATGTTCCACCCTGCACCCGTTTTTGACGTTCTGGGGCCCGAAAACGTCTCCAAGGCGCAACAGCTTCCGAAATCGAGAACACGTGCATGACACGCGTATCCTGGCATGTGGCCCCACTGCCACGATTGACGATCACAGATTGGTCGCTCGGGATGCCAGGCCTCGAATGAGGATCACGAGATCCACCAGCATCCTGGGAATAGGTGGTCTAGAGATGCTATCACAACCCACAGTAAGGACCCAATGCAAGGATGCATAATCTCATTTATCATTCAGAGCCCCCCTGGACGTCCACAGGATGGGCCGGAGAAGCCGGGATGCAAGGGCAGCCTTGATGAAGTAGCGCATCTATACTGTGGACTTCGACTGCACCTTCCCGCCAATCCCCTTTTCTTCCCCTTTGTGGCTTACTCCTCCCCCGAGCCCACGCCAGCAAAAAAATATCCCGCCGAACGAAGCATCCTGGCGGGCTCTTTGGCTCGCTTCGGGGCATCTTGGAAACTTCTTGGAGCTTCGGACGGCCTCTTGGGACCGTTTTGGCCCCCAGAACGCTAGACACTGGTACTTTCTTTTTCCTCGGAACTCAGATGGACGGTATGGGAAACCTCCAGAGGCCCTCTTGAGGCTCTTGAGGTTATCTTATGGTCTAACATGTCCATCGATCATTATTTGCCCATCCTCAACCCGTACTGGAGCTCTTCTGCAACCCTGCTGAGGCGATCTTGTGTCGTCAAGAGCTGTTCGGGGAGCAAAACAACGAGAAACACACATTCGCTATATCTGAATAGTGCTTGAATGAATTAGGCCCCTCTGAGGTATTCTTAGCGGAGTCTTGGGGCCATACGGGGCAGACCTGGTGGCTGCCTTGGCGGGCCTTCTAAGGTCGTGTCACCCCTTGTCGCGTCTGTTCTGTCTTGTCTTGTCTTGCCTCGTCTGGCCGTCTGGGCCCGTCTTGGCGGCGTCTTGGAGTCCACTCCTCGCCGGCCTTGCGGCCCGCCGTCGACTGGAGGGGCCCTCCTGCTTTCTGGTTTAGGGGAACACCGCCTTCGCAACATTGCCCCCCTTACCTGCGGACTAGATGTGGCTGACAATCTGGCGCGGTGGCCGCCCGTGGCGCAGAGAAGGGCGAGGCACATCTGAAAATCCTCGTTCGTGGGAGCCTCAGATTCCAAGGTCGGAGGGGACCTCTTGACTCTTTTTTGGCCCCCTTCTGGAGGTGCTCTTGGGGAGGTCCTGTTGGGGTTGGGTTTGGACTCGTGGGGGGTTCTCCTGGTTTTGAGGCTTCCCAGAGCCTGCGAAAGCCCTCCTGGGGACATCTGGCGACGAGCATGGCCGCAAGGACGGGTGGCATTTTCTTTATGTAGAGCTCTCCTGGGGCCCTCTAGGGGCGCATTTGGGATCCTCATGGGGGCATCGGGGACCTGTCTTGGGCCGTTCCGGGGCCTTCGTTTTTTCACCAAACAACTTTGCTGTCTGGGATGCTGTTGTGATAGCGGCTAACTCCGGCTGGGCGGCCCCCGCACGGAGACATCCTCAACATTCTGAGGTGGTCCAGGCCTTTTTGCCTGAGACATCATCACGCCTCTAGTTTATGCGTTGTCCAAGATTGGGCGGTTAGCGTGAGACGTCCTCGAAACCCTGGGCTCTCAGAAGCCGCGCGAGAGGTGGTCCAACACGTTTCCCCTGAGACATCTTCGAAACTCTGAGCTCCTGCTGCGCGAGAGGTCAAGCCCGTTGCGCCTGAGTCACCCTCGCAACTGTGGGCTCCCGGATGCTGCGCGCGATGCAGTCTGGCGCGTTTTGCCTCAGGCATCCTCACACCTCTAGGCTCTCAGAAGCCTCGCGAGAGGTGGTCCGGCGCGTCTCGCCTGAGACGTGCTCACAACTCTAAGCTCCGAGATGTCGCGCGAGAGGGGGTCTGGCGCGTTTCGCCTGAGACATCTTCGAGACTCCAGGGTCCAAGATGCCGCGCGAGATGTGGTCCAGCTCGCTTCGCCTGAGACATTCTCGCAAATCTGGGCTCCGAGATACCGCGCGAGAGGCGGTCGGATGGGTTTCGCCTCAGAGATCCTCGCAACTCTAAGCTCCGAGATGTCGCGCGAGAGGAGGTCTGGCGCGTTTCGCCTGAGACATCCTCGCAGTTGCTCGCGAGGTGGTCCAGCGCGTTTCGCCTGAGACATGCTCCCCACTCTGGGCTCCGAGATGCCGCGCCAGAGGTGATCAGACCCGTTTCGCATGAGACATGCTCGCAGCCCTGAGCTGCGAGCTGCTGCGCGCGAGGTGGTCGGACGCGTTTCGCCCGAGACATCCTCGCAACTCTGAAGATTCGAAACTATGAAATGCTTCGCGCGAGTTGGTCCGGCCGGCCTTTCTCGCCTGAGAACTCCTAAGGTTTCTGGGCTCCGAAAGAGAAGATGGGCGATGGTCATACCCAAACGAACCATTTGATTACATGTCTGTTGTCAAATTGTGCTCTGGGAGCGGTCTGGGCGCCGCCTGGAACAACCTCCCCACTCTGGGTGCCGAGATGCTGCGCCCGGGGTGGTCCAGCCCGTTTCGCCCGAGACATCCTCGCAACTCAGGGCTTCGAGATGCTGCGCGCAAGGTGCTCTGGCGCGTTTTGCCCGAGACGTCCTCGCAACTCTGAGCTCCGAGAAGCCGCGCGCGAGGTGGTCCAGCCCGCTTCGCCTGAGACGCCCTCGCAACTCTGGGCTTCGAAATGCCGCGCGAGAGGTTGTCAGACCCGTTTAGCCTTAGACATGCTTGCAACCCTGAGCCCCGACATGAAACATCCTCGCAACTCTGCACTCTGCGAAAATCTGCGCAGGGTGGTCAGGCACGTTTCAAGTGAGACATCCTAACAGTTCGGGGCTTCGACATGCTGCGCGCGAGGTGGTCCAGCCCGTTTCGCCTGAGACGCCCTCGAAATTCTGGGCTCCGAGAGAGAGAGAGAGAGAGGAGGATGGAAGGGGGAGGGTCATACCGAAACGAAACATTTGACTACATGTCTGTTGTCAAATTTTGCTCTGGGAGCGGTCTGGGGTCTGGGCACCGCCTGAGAAATCCTGTCAACTCTGAGCTCCGAGACGCCGCGCGAAGGGTGGCCTGACGCGTTTCGCCTGAGACATCCTCGCAACTCTGGGCTCTGAGATGCCCGTTTCGTTTGAGACGTCCGAGGATCCGCCCGAGAGATGGTCGGACGGGTTTTGCCTGAGACACGCTCTCAAATCTGGGCTCTGAGATTCTGCGCGGAAGGTGATCTGGCCCATTTCGCCTGAGACAACCTCACATTTCTGGGCTCCGAGATACCGCGCGCGATGTGTTCTGGCCCTTTTCCGCCTGAGGCATCCTCGAAACTCTGGGGCCTAAGGTTGTCAGACCCGCTTCGCCAAAGACAACCTCGCACTCTTGCGCTCTGAGATGATGTGCGCAAGATGGTCTGGCCCGCTTCTCTTGAAACACCGTCGCCATTCGGGCCTGCGACATGCTTCGCTCGAGGTGCTCCGGCCCGTTTCGACTGAGACGCCGAGCTGCCCTCGAAATTCTGGGCTCCGGGAAGGGTGAGGGAGGAGGGGGGAGAGGTCAAACCCAATCGATCAATTTGACTCCATCTCTGTTGCCGAGTTGTACTCTTAGAAGGGTCTGGGCGACGCCTGGGACATGCTCGCAACTCTGAGCTCCGACATGCCTCGTGTGAGGTGGTCCAACCCGTTTCGCCTGAGACATGC